AGTGGATCCTGGAGCCCCCTTCGGTTTGAATCCTGGCTCCATAATTTCCCCGGTGAATCTGGAGTAAGTGATTTAACCGTCTGTGCCTCAGTTTCCTCACTTGTAAAACAGAGATAAAGATCATATATACTTTATAGGGTTAATTGCGAAGGCTCACGGAGGTCACTTTTATGGGATGCTTCACCGAGTGCCTGGCTTATGCACGTGCCCCTTGTATGCCAAGTATTTATATGATTCTTGTTTGGTGTACTTTGAACGCCGACATCTGCAACACATACTTCTTGATTATACGCATCTTGATTATAAAACAACCAAATGCATCTACATCCGGAACTGTCTTGCGCATGAACTTCTAAACCCAAATTGGAAGAGACAGCTACAGACGGAGCACGCACAACTACACGCAAACACACACATAGCCTTCTAACACCTGCAGTTCCTGGCCCCAGAACCCAGACACCCAAGAGCTACCCACAGAGAGGAACCTGAACCGGGCTACCTACAGAGGAGCCCAGGTCGCCGCCGACAGCCTCGCAGCTGCACCCCGACAGCCACTCTCTTGGCTGGTTGCCGTGAGGTCACATTGGAAACCAGCGAGGCAGAAAGCGCGCTGTCGTGAAGCGCTGCAAGCCTCTCGTAGCAGCCTGAAGGCGGCTGCCTGTCTGCTGGCTTAGGGGAAAGGTCAGAATCTGGGTTTTCCTTCTTGGATGGAAATTTTTTTTTAGGGCCTACAAGTCGGGAACTGTCCCCACAAAGAAAGGGTGGGTCCCAGAACAGCGCAGATCTAAAGAGAGGCCCTAGCAGCGCGTGCGGGCACACACACACGCACACACACCCTCTTGCACACACCCGGCTCCTTCGGGTTGCCGGGACCTCGGGAGGAGGGAGCCGCAAGGTCGTGGCCCCTGCCTCTGCCCGAGCGCGCCCTTCGGCCCCTGCAATTAGCGCCGGGAGGTCAGCAAGAACCCGGACGCCTTCAACTGCGGCTCAAAGCACAGCAAAAGGCGACCCCATCCCCTCCCCTCCTCCGGTCTCAGACGCCAGGGCGCAGCCAGGACTGGAGCCGACCTTCCCTAGAGGCGGCGGCTGGAGGCCTCTGGTCGGCATCCGCGTTTGTCACCTTAAATCTACAAATCACGAAGGCGCTGGGCCCTGCAGGCTACGGTAGCTGATCCCCGTAGGGACTACTGCTCCTGAGAGTCGTGGCCTTTGTCCTTGTAGACGCGGCTAGGTTAAAAAACGAAAACTTCCAAAGTTGTAGAGTAAGAAAGAGAGCGTCCCTGTACAGGGAAGTTGTCCCCAGGGGAGAATTTGAGGTGTGTATGTTGAGAAAGGAGGTATCCTTTCTCTATCCACCTATGGCGAATTCAGGTTATCCCCTGCAGGGCGGGGTCCAGAACTAGGGTCTGGAGAAGATTTCTACAAGAAACAGAAAGGAACTTGTCCAGAGAATTATGAGCCAGGGTTCCCGCACTGAATTTTTTAACATTCTTTGGAAACCCAGAGGAAGGCAGGGATGTTTTTCTCATCTGAGGCACAAACAGGAGTGAAAGTGATATCCAGGAAAGAGGGGAAGGCGGCTTCTTCCTAGGCTGAGAATGGGGCTGGGGACGGAGGAGGAGGGGAATGGGGTTGGGGGTGGTGGGGATGAGAAGAGGCAAAGGCGAAGCGCCCAAGTTCCGGAGCCCGGGAGGCGCTGGGGTGCTGAGCCAGCTGCGGCGACCTGGACGCATTCGTAGACCAGACAGATAGGTGGCACTCCAAGCCCAGAAAAAGGAGAAGGCGCCGGCCCCGAGTGGCCTCTGGGGCGGCCGCAGCCACCATAAAGCCTGCGGCGAGATTGCGACCGGCGCCAGGTGAGTAATAGGCAGCAAAATCCAGAGAGACTGCGAGCCGTTCATCCCCCGCACCCCCAGTCCATCAGCGCCACAGGAGTTACTCATTAACATCACAATATACAAATGAGATATACAGGAGATTTAAAAAAAAAAAAAAAAAAAAAAAAAAAAAACAAAAAAAATAAAAAAAAAAAAAAAAAAAAAAAGGAACGCCAGTAGGAGAGGCTGGACACACATCTGAGCAGTGTCCCCATATTGGGGGGGGGGGTCGGGGAGAGGGGAGGAGGTTAGCAAATTTGGACTGAGACAGAAGAAAGAGAGAAAAAAAAGCATTTCTTCCTTCTTTGAGGCTGAGTTCTTTTTTCCCCAATTCGGGAGAGCGCAGTTGGGCGCAATCAGTCAACTACCACCTTCCCAGAGCCGCAGGCACCGCGCGCTGTCGCTGTGTCCAGAGCTGACCCCTTTAGGCTGCAGCCGCTGCACGGAAGGCGCGCGCCCCAGAAATCTCCCGGTCCTCGGAGGAGCCCCCACCTCTAAAGGTCCCCAAGCTCTGTCTCAGCTCAGGCCCTGACACTCCCGCAGCACCGCCCACCCCCAACCCGCACCAACACAAACTCTGGTTATCTTCCCTCCCACCCCCGGAGACCACGCAGAGGAGGCTACAGGGGTCCCCACATGCCTGGCCAGAGATGGAAGGGGCTTTGCCCCGCTCTCCAAAAGGTCTCGACCTCGATCCCTTCCAAGTACAGGATGAGGGAAGGGAGGGGGCGTCCTCTTGGCTGGTCATTCAAGAGGCCTGAAGGTGACAGGGACGTGGGGCCGGGCTGGCGGGCTCCAGGGGGTGGAGGGTGGGGAGGGAGGCAGCCGCCAGGCAGGCTCCAGCTGGGTCTTCACGTCAGGGCCCCTAGGGCAAGAAAAGGGCTAGCAACTAACCCTGGAACCTTCCCGTGCCGCCTCCGCCCCCCAACAGACACACACCTCGGAGGCAAGGCTGGGGGTCGGGAGACCAAACACTGACAGTGCCTCATCATTTTTTATTGAATGTTTCAAAGATAAATTGAACTTCAAAAGGCAACTCCCCGAACAGCCTGGAGACTGGTTTGAAGGGGAGACTAGGGGAGGATGTCAGCCTCCCGGGTGACATTTCCCTTGAGGGAGTGAAACGTGCACCCTGGAATTACCTTTCCTCTCCCAGGGATAACTTCCCTCCTCCCTCGCGTGACACAGCTAAGTTTTCGCGGAGCTGGCGGCGCTTCGCACGCACAACCCGGGAAGGATGGGGCCTCGTAGGGGCGCCTTGGGCGAGCGGGGTTCAATCTGAGGCACCGGGGACCGCCGGATGTGGGGGGATGCGGAGTGGAAAGGCGTTGCGTCTTGTCCACTTCTACAACCTGGAGGGCTGCTGCCTAGCCAAGACCGCTCGGACTGCTGGGGGATTCTGCTGGCCTTCTCCCCCGAGCCAAACACGCGGGTGCAAGGAGGGATTTTTGACTTGGATTTGCCAGATTGATGTCAAAAGGGAGGGCGAGCTTAAAACAAAAAACATTCGTAGTGCTCGAGGTTATTTGTGGTCAGATTCGTGTGGGAAAACCTGACTTAGGGAGCACGTCAGTCTTTTCCCATTAAAACTTGAAAGTATCTGAAATTACTCTTCTTTCTGAATTCTCATCAGGCCCCTTTCCGTCTCCCCGCTTTGCTCCCTAATTTAAAGGAAAAGTAATTTCAGATTGAAGTGGCTCCCTTCGTTCAAGTAAAGGACTTTTTGTTTTTAGCTTTGTAATTTGAGTGACATCTCATTTTGGTTCGCTGGGGGCGGTCTTAATTATTTAAAGGCGAAGGGAAGGGGGTAGACGGAGAACCAGAAGAGACCGAAGCCTCCCCCGACTGTCTGCCCTCAGGAAAGTTTCCCAAAGGAAAGCATTTAACACAAGGCCCAAAGATATTTCAATAAAAATTTATTGAAATCTCAGTGATGTTTTAAAGAGAGGGGAAATAAAATACAGAAAACCAAAGAACTCATCAACAACTATAACACAAAATATACCTTCATGAATTTGTTTTTAAACCATCTCTCAGCACCTGACTTTTGAACTGTGAATCTCTATAGGCACCAATTCAAAACACCATCGATATTGACAACAGTAGTAAATTCCACTTGGTTCTTAGGAAATCAGAGACTAGCAAATACAAATAACGAGAGAAGAATTAGAAAGTCAAACCACAGCCTCTGCCCTCCTCCCTCCCCACAGCAATCTCAGCTGTATTTTAAGGAGTTTGAAGTGGAGCTGGAAACTGGCAAGCCTTTCCCAATTTTTGGCTGAAATAGGAAGTAGTACTTTCCCCCATTTTTGGACATTAAAAGGAAAATAAAAATGTGGCAGACAACACTTTTGAAAGGGCACTGGTGTTGGTGTAGGAAGTGTGTTTTCTAGTGTTAGCAATTCTGTGACCTGGAAATAAAACCAACTAAAGGAAAACGAGAACACAAAACCTGTTGCCATTCTATTTACACAGAGCTATGTACAATGTCAATAAATTAAAGTTTAATTTTCCAAGCATTCATATTCCACCTATTTACAAGAGTTATCAAATAATTACATAAATACTTTGTCTAATAGTCTCACTTCTTTATTTTTTTTTTTAAAACCTTGTTATTGCATATACAGGAAAGAGAACTGTCAAAGAACGACATGAATCCTGCTACAGAGCTTAGATAAAATAAATTCATTTTATGTGTTTTGCCCACTCCTTTCCTTTATATCGCCCCCCACCCTTGGGTCACTGATTTGAGGGCAAATGATTGGGGAAAGGGTATGGGGGTAGTTGTCTTCTCTCTAAAAGCAAGCATTCAAAATAAAAACCACAAATACATTACTGTGAAACATGCAAGAAGAGACCTATAGCGGCTCTGAAAACATCACAAGAATATTAAAAGGACACAGATTTCCTTAATACAGACTAAACAAATGGTAGGGACTTCCCTCTCCAAACAAAGCTGCTCAGTAATTTATTGAGAACCGATAATACGAGTCCCTATAAAGTTTTTAATCTGCACAAACAGAATCATGTTAAGTATTCACTTGTCCCGATTTTTTTTTTTTTTTGAAAGATTTTATTTGTTTTTGTTTCCACTTGACACAGTGAAGGAAAAAATGTATAAATCTCCCTGCCTGGTGGGCAGGGACCCAGACCAGCCTTGCTGGAAGTTGCTCTGGACATAAATGTTGGAACTCCCACCCCCAAGAGCTCAATGCAACCGACGTTTCTTAGCCCCCAGAATCTGATCCAGATCCCAGATGCATAAACCACGCCAAGAAGACAGGGGCTGTCTCTAGCACATTCTCTCGAGGGAGTCCGGGGGCCCCTTCCTAGGGGCAACTGCAAAAGGAAGGGCTGACGCCATGGCGGGCCTGTGGTTTATTTTACATCCAACAAAGTGCACGGCAGCGTGGACTGGACTGGAATGAAGAGACGTGTCTGGGAGGGGGTCTACGGGGATGCGCTGCGGGACCTGTCCGGCTTGGCTTCCAAGCCACTGACCAACCGCTGGATGCTCTGCAGTTCGCTGGTGGCCGCCTCCTTCTCCGCGCAGAGTTTGGGCGACAAGGACACGGAGCTGGAGGAGAGCGTGGAGGAGCGGCTGTTGAGTTCAGAGCCCGAGTCCACCGCCACCGAGGCCGGGCTGGCGGCCAGAGCGGCGACTTTGCCGTCCAGGGGCCCCGCGGCCGCTGCCATGGAGGGGAGGGCGGTGGTGAGCAGGCTGCTGCCGTCGGGGACCGGCACCGGGATAGAGTAGGGGCTGTAGCGCAGCCGCGGGCGCATGGTGTTCAGATTGAGGAAGGGGTGGCGGTGCACAGAGCTGGTGGCTGCCGCAGAGGAGGCGGCCGCCGCCGCAGCCATGTACGTGTAAGGGTAAGGGAACAGGCTTCCGAAAGGGGACATGGCCAGGCCCTGGGGTGAGAAAAGAGACACACAGCAAGTCAGCGGGTGGGAGGAGCCTACTTCATCCATCTCCTCTCTTTTCCCCCTCCAACACGGGCAAGCCACAAATCCCTGGTGATTTTGGGAGGTTGGGGGGGGGGACGGTGGGCGGGGGCAGGAGAGAAGCCAACACTCAGATATCTCTAGGTTCAAATCATAGCTGTGTCACCCTAGGCCAAGGGACTTTAACTTCCTGTGCCTTAGCTCCCTTATAGGAAGAAAAAAAAACAGAGAAATCATAAGTAATTCACATACTTATTGAGGACTTTGTAGATATTAAGTGAGTGAAAGTGAAATCTCCCCCTAAGGGTTTTTCCTTGCACCTGTTAAATGGGAATACAGATTCAGTTTACGCCACAAAGGTGACCAAGGGGAAGCCAGGGGACATAAATTTTAGGAATAATTTTTGAAATCTTCTTGTTCCCCAGCCCCTATCCTTCCACTCCAATCCTAGAAGTTTCTCAAAAATAAAAAAAATGAAAAAAANAAAAAAAAAAAAAAAAATGAAGCTCTTAAGCAAAAGAAAACTGGGGGAGGGAAATAAAAGGGCATTTGTTATAACCAGAGACAAAGAAATCGCCCAGCAGGATTCACTGGTGTTCCAGGTGAGAAGCCAAGGCAGGCCGCAGGAGTTCAGGAATACTCTAAGCTGGGAATTGGCAGAAGCAACATTTAAAATGCAGGGACCCTGGCCTGGGCCAGTTCTCTGCACCATGCCTTGAGGTGCCCTGAAGGGTTCTGTCTGTCCAGGCAGCCCCTGGCATACCAACCACCTGCCCACCTAGGACAGGATCTCCAGGAGGAGCCAGCAGAGATGGACGGAATTGAGAAACGCCGGAAGCCAAGCCTTTCCTGAGCTCCCTCCTCCCTGGATGGGGAGGCCAATCTGGCTTCTTGGCGCAGGGAAGGGAGACGAATGTGCTCAGACAAAACAAAAGGCAACAGCATGCAAAGCCTCATAGAACCTTTTCATCAGGTTCAGGGTGTTTCCAGCCGCGGAGACTTCCCCCCAGCACAGCTGTCTGAGCCACACACAGGCCTCCAGGCCTGCCCCAGTCCCTGCTTGTCCCTGTCCTCTGACATTTTCCCACGTGTGCACAAACTATTAACTCTTTGAGGAGTAGGATGGCCTGCTTGGGGTTGGGGATAGGGAGAAGAGCTTCGAACTGGGAGGAAAGGCTGGAGGAATCAAGACTGAACTACCACTCAGGAAACAGTCACTTCCCCTCCCCAGGCCTAGAGTCCTATTTCTGGGACAGGGTTGGCTATGAGAACACTTAAGAGACATTTCAGCTCTGAAGCTAAAATCAAAAGCCCTCAAAGAGGCCCTGGAGTCAGACAGCCTGGGGTTGAATCTCAGCTCCATACCATGAACCTGCTGTGTGACCTTGGACAAGTGACTCAACATCTCTGGGCGTCTTCCCCTTCATCTGTAAAGGGGAGGTGATAATCGTACCCCTGAAGGGTTGGATCAAATGAGTCAATACAGAGCAAGCACTTAGAAGAATGCCTGGAAGCAAGGGCTGAATCTAGCTGATGCCTTTATACCTATCTGCTCTGCAGGAAACAGCCTTTAACTTAGGAAAACTTTTAAATTTGGGGGGGAGGGGGTGGCTGGGGAGAAAGAAGTCATGATAACTCAGTGAGCTAAGCCTTGAACCTAGGAATGGCTCAGTAAAAATTATTATTACAGCTAGCAGGCCGAAGGACAGGGAACCTGGAGGGAAGGTGGAAAGACTGGAGGAGGCAGGAAGAAGCCTCCTTACCTGAGAAGCCAGGACGTGCTGCTGGAGGTGGAAGGGCAGGGTGGCCGCGGGCGCCCCGGACAGTCCCTGCGCTGCGGCGGCAGAGGCTATGGCCGTGGAATCCAGGCCCGAGACGCCGGTGGAGGCCCCGGACACGGTAGCCAGGAGGGGCCCCATGCCGGCGGCCGCCATGCTGGAGAAGGCGCCCCCCATGGCAAACTGGCCGGGGTGCAGGAAGAGCGGATGCCCGTTGAAGAACTGCTGGCCCGCCAGGCCCGGGGCGAAGCCGAGGCCGGGGAGGGGGCCCTGGGCCAAATGCGCGGCGGCCGCGTCCGTCTGCACCGTGAGCGGCGCGAAGGCCTCCTTGCCCGGGAGCGCGCGCGCCTCCTCCGCCTTGGCTGGCGCTGCGCCCTCGCGGCCCGGGCTCCTGCGCTCCTCCGCGCCCAGGCCGCGGGTGCTGGATGAGATGGTGGCGGGGCTGTGGCGCGAGTCGGGCGACGCCTTGTCCAGCCGCCTGCTGTCCCGGGGCCGCTCGGCGGCGAAAAGGTGCGCCTTGACCGCGGGGCTGCTCTTGTCACGGCAGGGCTCCTCCGACGTGGTGGTGGAGATCTTGGCTGCGTCGCAGGCCTCGGGGCCGTGCTCCTCTTTGCTCTCAGCTTCGGCGTCGCTCTCACCCTCGCTGGGACATAAATCTACCATAGGACAAGAAAAAAACCAAGGCAGAAGGGCGTTAGCTCCCGTCTGAACCAAGGCCAACTCCAGTTCCCAAGTTGGAACCCCAGCTCGTGGCTTACTGGCGGTGTCATCCCGGGGAAAGCCCCTTAGCCTCTCTGCACCTCAGTGTTCTCATCTGCAAAATGGGGATAATCGTGCCCAACAACTTTGCTGGAAAATGCTCGACGCTATTAATGAATGTAAAGTATTTAAACAGAGTTTAACTTCCTCTTAGATGGTCAACCCCCAATCGGTAGCTCTTCTTATTATAATGAATTTTACTTTTTTTTTTTTAAAATGGCGTCAGGCTCTCAGGCATTTCCCCATGCGATTGCAAATTAGCTTTTTAAAAGTAAAAGCTAACATGGAAACTCACAGCTGGAACATATTCTAATTACTATCAGAGTTTTTGTTCAGTGAATGACAGAGAGCAGCACCTTGCACAGGTGAATTACTCTGGAAGGATTTGTTTGGGGAGAACCCTGACATCTGAATTGATAATGGCTGAAGCAGACACCTGTCCCTCAACGGGAACACTCGGTTGAAACTTCTGTGTTTGCTCCAGTCCCTGCAGACAGAAATGAGTGTCAGGCAGCCCACTCACCGCCCAGGGACAATCAGATTCTTTTGTGCTTTCACCACACCCTCTGCGGGTGTTCCACCAGAAGAAAAGAAAAAGGGATCCTATTTTATGTTTAAAGCTTAAATGGATTGAAGACATAAAGGACTTGCATTTTGTTGCACCAAAAAAACAGGTTTCTTCCCGTTCAGAATGTGTGTGTGTGTCTTTGCAAATAAATAGTGCTTGCTCTTGAAACACAGGAAACCGAGGGGGGGATTTGAGCCATCGTGTCCACTCCCTCCTTCCCCAGCTCTGCCCCCACCACGGATCCCCAGTGCTCCACCTCCTCCCCCAGCTCAATTGTTGCTCTACAGCTGGACGTTTCCTAGGCCACCTTCCCGGTTCCAGGTGGCAGAGAACCCCTTGCCTTTCCCCCACCAAGTCCAACCCACTGTAACCCAGAGTTAAAAGACAATGAAAAGTCAGCAGTTGTAGCCTCTCTTGGTTGGAGAGAATGGGAGGAGAAAGAAACAGAGACAGAGAGAAAAGAGAGAAGTGCTCCAAGCAGGTTTTCAAAGCTGCTCGCCAAGAGGTACTATGCAAACAGACACCCACCTCCCCTCCCCACCTGCCAAATAAGGATCTGGGGAAAAGGCCTTCGTGCTCTCCTTCTTCTGCCTTAGGGGGAAAGCGGGGAGACACACCTGAGAGCCCTTTTTGGACTCTGGCTCCTGTTTAAGGACTTTTAGAAGGGTTCCAGCTTTTAAAGAGCAAGTGCCCTGGTTGGTGCCCCATCCCCCTTCAACTCTTCCAGGCCACGAGGACCTGGAGGCCAGTGACCACAGAGGTGACCAGGCTTACCTTTGAGGTTCGATGTCCCTACAGTGGAGACGGCTGGAGAAGAAGCCTGAGCAAAGCAGTTGAAAGCTGCCTGTTCGCTGGAGGACTCGTCGGAGGTCCCGTTCTCCTTTTTGTGTCTTTCATCAAACACCCTCATGGACTGCAGGGTGAGCTGTTTTCTGCGGCAGAAGCCCACACCCAGGTTACAGAATGTAACATACATTTCCCCTCTTTGTTTGCCTTACCCTTTTCAGAGCGGCACACACATATCTCACACCCTGCCTGCTGCCCCGGGACAACAATGATTGGCTGAAATCTGCTGGCCCCAGGGCAGATAATAGACCCAAGCATCGTTCTTGACCCTCTAACTGGGCTAAAGAGTGTGGCACAGGGTTAGGGAGAATGGAGGGAGGCTTCAGATGCATTTATTCAAGATGGGTTTCATCAGGAAAAGGCATTTGCCTGGGCTGGAAGAGAAGCTGGATCTAGTCAGAGACAGCTGGACTGCCGGCCTTATAGAGGCAGAACTGGGTGTCCAACCCTGCAAACACAATGCCGTCGTCCCCAGCACACCCAAACTCCTGGATGGTTGCTAAGATTGGGAGGAAGTGGTTATTTCATGGTGCACTTTAGTGTAATCGTTTTACCAATCAATTAATTGGAATAAAAGTCTATTTAGCTGTTAGCAATTATTTTTTAATGCCCACCCCAAGGGGATAGCATAAAAATTTGGGGGTGATTTTCTGGATTTTAGAACTTCTTAGAAAAGGGGTGGGGAAGGGGAGACCCTCTTTCAAATACTCTACAGCTGTCTGCTTAATGGAAAATGATACATGTCCCCAGGAAGGAGGGAGGGAGCCATACATCTTTCCAAAGGCCCCAGCCCTGTCTGATGGTGTTTGGAAGACAGGATTGCAAAAATTCCCAAGCATTTTGTCAATGGCATGATCCTTTCTGGACCCGGCTTAGGATGAACTTAAATTAATAAGGAATTAATAGTCATCCCTGTATAATCTATTGTCCCTGATGCTTCTCTTCAGAGATAAGGATGGTGTAGCCTTGTTAATTTCCTTAAAGACAGGGAGGTAGGAAAAGTACGTGTCCTGGGTATACCTACACCAGCGAGCATGTAGCAGTGGGCAAAGCGAATGATTTCTACCTGCTCTTCTCTTCTCAGGAAAAGTGCCTGCTCTCACTTCTAACACTTCAGAGCTGGATCCTAAAAAAGTGATTTTTCTAAGCTAGCTGAGAAATAAATAATTGTTTCAACTCACCTTTTTTCTCTTCGGCCATTTCCAGTGTCCCGGAAACCTTTTGCAAAAGGGTTGTTGTCTATTTTTAACTGAGTTATCTATTGGAAGAGACACAAGCAAGACAGAGACATTGGCCTCATTTTCTAGAATGTTTTGAGGGTGTTTTTCCCAACTCAACAAGTCTCCTAGAGATGTGACTGCCAACAGAAGTCATGTAGATATGCCAGGGAAAGGAGATAATGGCAGAAGTCTGGAGAGAACTAACAGAAAAATCAAAGGAAACTATAGCAGGGTTTGTATCTCCTGTCTGAGGCCAAACCAGGGATTTGGGGATGAAATTATTCAAAGAAATTCTTTCCTTTGGGCAGTCGACAGCTTGGGTTAGACATGGAAGTGTTGCCAAAGTCATCAAGAGGGAAAACCTGTAGATCTTAAAATTATGCTTTCATTTTGATTTTTATACAGTGCAATTAATCATAAAATATTATAGCATACACACACACACACACATACACACACACACACACCCCTTTTCCATGAATCCAATAAATGATTTATGGGGTTTTACTACCCTTGCGTGGGAGTGAGTTTGATTTTTTTTCGCTTGGGGGGTGGTTTGAGGAAATTACAATATTGACAATTACAGTACTGAATGACCACTGGAAACATTTGTTTTCATTTATGTGCTCTGCCATGGCCATTAGGTGGAGAAGGCCGGTGGCCTTTTTGTCTGGTCAAAAATGCTACATTTTATTATTACATTAACAACTTCATTTTACAAGATTCTGGGTCTAGAGGGAGCATGCATTTTGCACTCTGAGAAAAATGCCATAGTATGTAATCTTTCAAATCCCCTCCCCTTGGTAGGGGGAAGAAGTTATATACACAGAGTTCCTCAGAGGTAGAAAAGTCTCCTAGGGGCCCCTTGGTTGGATTCATGTTCTTGGAATAAATTGCTCTACCTAAGACTTCAGGTTTTACAGGAAAAGGAGATCATGATGTTTTAGTACTCAGACTAAAGAAATTTGGCTGGAACGTCCTCATCATTAGTCCACAGAAGACCGAAGGGCAGTGACAATGACAGTGAGTTCAAAATGAAGTGTGTTGTCAGGTAAAATGGACTCTCCTTGAAGTCCAGGATTGCAGAGCAGGGGTCTTCAGTCCCTCCTCCCACCGCCAGAACTGTCTGCTGACAGCCAATCGGGAAACTGGTGAATCAGCAGCAAGGGTCACTTCTTCTGTGCCCATGACCCTCAGGCCACCAACTCTAGGTATCAGGTGCTTTCCCGTTTGGGGATCCTTCTGATCTCCAGCTTCAGGCCCAAGAGGGGAAAGAAAATTCAAATGAAGTGGTGACTGGCCACCTCAACTCAAAAGCCTCAGACAACTGGATTAGTATGACCCTGTGATCAGGGTAGGTTTTTCTAACCACGCGCATGCATGCACACACATGCACACACATGCACACACATACACACACACACATCATAAAAAACACAGCAGCATAAAAGGTAATAAAAACCAGACCAGCTACTCAGGATTTCTGGCTAAGGGAAAAAAGCTGGTCTCTACTAGGATTCTCCTCCCAGGATCCCAAATGGCTTTTGCCTTAAATTTTTAGCTGGTTCCTTTTGAATGTGACTTCTTGATCCTTCTTTCTTAAGGGGAAGAAGATGAACCTTAAAACAGACAGGACAAAGCCGGAGGGGTGGAGGAGTGAGTAGCATCAATGTCAGCGGGTACAAGGAGCTTCTGTGTGGCAAAGTTAGTTTGGCATTTTTTTGCCCAGCAGTGCTCCCACCTAGGCAAGGTGTTTTTCTGTCTCTTTGAGATGCCAGTGTCCTTTCCCCCAAATGCTCGACAAATCACAAAAGAAAACTCAAGACGCTCATCTCGACTGGCTGGTAACTTTCTCATCCTAACTCAAAGTAGCTTTTAAAGCAAAGGCAAAATATCACCATTGAAAAAGAAAGCCCCCTGGGTTTACCTTATCATTCTGGTATGCGGTCACAGCGATGAATTCAGTTTCGGGGAACAAGTATGTCCGAAATGTACTATAAGGGAGTTTCAAGATGTCATTAGCTCTTACAATGTGGAACCGGGGCTGGTATTTGTGCATGGAGTTCAGTATAGTCTGCAGGGGCAGGGAAGAGGAGACACACATAAAACAAGGATTTAGCAGGACAAACGGGATCTTAGGACCCCTGCCAGGCTGAAATCTTCCCCACCCGCAGGGTACCACTCTTGTACCGAGCCCACCTCCTTGGAGTACCTCCTGGGTACATTTCGCTCCACAGATGTTATCTTCTGGAGAATCCAAATTGCTCCTCGGTTGCCAAAGGGTCCCCCCCCACCCTCACCATCTAAGGATCATTCGTACCTTGAACCCTAGCCTACCTGAGTACCAAAACTATAATTCCCCTGCCACGTAGCGTGATCACTTGGGAAGGCCAAAGTCTTAAAAGATAGAGAAAAACATGCATTTTAATTTACAAAATGATTCAGTACTTTAAGCGCCCACTAATTGACGAGCCCAATCCACTTAAAGCCCTGAAAGGCTGAACTCTAGAGAGGAATATTTATGCCTTAATCAAATCAAGGGCTTCAAATGCAATTCCTGTCCGCTGAAGACATTTCCACGCCATTCGCTTCTTCCTGGGCCTAATCTTTCTGCTTACTCCTTGCTTATCACTGTTTATTTTATTGAAATGTTGGGGAGGGGTAGGAAAAGGGGCAAAAGGTCCTTTGCCTGACTTCTAGAAGCAATCCAAGTTTTCTAAGTTTCTAAGCACTCTCTCACTGAACCCATGCACACACTCCCGACACAAAAACCATTTTTTACTGAAGATCTAAGCCTCACTTCAGGTAAGCCTGACTCCCACCTAAGCCCAATTCTTTTTTTTAGTAGAAGAAAATGAGGTTTTTAAAAAACGTATTCACACCATTTAACCAACAGAGGCAAGGCTCCGAAACTCAAACTATCCCAAGAAATAATATGGCTGGTTTCAAAACAGAAGTGTGATATTTGAAAACAAAACAAATCCTTTATGAATACATAGCCTTGAAATGGATTTTAGCTCTTACAAAATGGTTTTTAACTTCACTCTCAGGTCAGGCGTTTGCCGAAGAGCTGGAACTGCTATAGATTTCCTGCCCCATTTCTTTTAGAACGCCAGGCCTTCCATTATCCGGAGAGAAACACCCTGAATCCTTTTTCCCAACGAGGACAAGATTGCTATGCTTAGGGAGAAGCAAAAGAGAAGTCTGGGCTGAAACCAAAGAGGGGAAGCACTGCTCTTGAACGAGTGAAGGAGAACATTTCACTGAAGGGAGCAATGAAACTTACAAATCCATGTTTGTCAGAAATGTTGTTGGTGAGTTTCAGTTTGTGGAAAGTGACGACTTTGGACATCCACTGTTCCCCGGTAGCTGGGCTATCCGGGTGAATGTACATCCTCTTTGGCATTTCAGGGTCGGCCTTACCAGCCACCATCCACCGAGAATTGTGAAATTTATAACGACAGTCATCAGCAGCTATAATATCCATCAATAAAATATATTTGGCTTTTTTATCTAGCCCAGAACATCTCACTTTAAATGGAGGAAACATTCGCCTATAAAAGGAAAGAATAGAAAAGAAAAAAGGAAGATAAACCACTCGTAATCTTGGGTTTGATTTCCTACACAGTACAATATTGAAAACAATTTTAAGACTTTCCACTGTGACTGATGAGCTTGTATGTTTCAGAGTGAGGCCACTGGCTGCAAAATCATTTTTTTTCACAACTCATGTATTAAATAGTCTCAATTTCTCCATATTGAGAAGCTCCAAGGTTCAAAACAAATGCATTGTAGCACTGCCTTTCTCTACATTGTCTAATAATTTCTCCAATTTTTTTTCTTTGTGTGACTTTACAGATTGCCCTCCTGATAGCAAATTCTTGCCCATGTCTTTTTCTATAGGTAACTAGTTCTAAACAGGCTGGGGTAAGATTTTAGTAAAGCACGATCACTCAAGACTAGAATTTTCTTCCACCCATTCATGAGAAAATGTTAAACTTATCAAGGAAATGAACGTGAATTTGCACCCCTCCCCCCTGCAGAATAGCAATCCCGCTGTGGGCGAAGTGAAACTGGACTTCAGTGAGTTCTCAGAACGAATTTAGCAGATTTCGGTGCACGCCCCGGCCTGATAATCTATCTGCCCATGGAGCTGCTAACACATTCCCCCACTCCTCAGGCCAGTCCAAAACTGCAAGAATGTGCCGTCACATTGCTGTTAATTTCACAGAAGTGTTGGCATTCTGTAGTCTTGACTTAAAAGGAAGCACCTCGCTGGAAAACCAACTAACTGTCTTATGGATTTGAGGTGGATTTTATGCCAAACTTTGGCCTCATTTAGCTTGGAAGGAGACAGAAAGCTGAAGAGATCCTGAAGGGGATTTTATTTTTATCCTTCCAACCTTATGCCTTTACAGGCTTCAATGCTATTTAAAAAAAAAAAAAAATCAGTGATGTTAAATGATGGTTGCAGGATCTTCTCTTCCAGGCAGGTTTTGGTCAGGCAAGGACCTTTAAACATGATATAAAATATGGTTGATAATCTTCACACATTAAAAAATCAAGTGTGTCTCCTCACTGGCTCCTTAAGTCTGCAAACATAATCTTAAATTATGCAAAATCGCCTGCTGAACTCGCCCTTGGGTTACAGACACGTGAAGTGGTGTGGGCAAACAAACCAAAATGCCCTTCGATTTCTCTCTCATCCAGGGCAGCAGCAGGCCCCTTTAGACCCAGGGGCTAGTCTGGAGGGCAGGAAAGGCCAGGGACTGGTGTCAGGCCTCCCGCTACCCACATAAAAGGAAAGGGCTTTAAGTTTTTCTCTCTGAGTACAAAATAAAACAGACAACACAACATCAACAAAGAAATAAGGATGTTCCAGGAGGATTTAAAGAGTGAATTTCTTTCAGTAGAGTGTTTTTTCTTTGTCTTTTTTTTTTTTTTTTTTTTGCTCCCTGCAGGATGTCTGGGCTCCACTGAAAAATCCCGTCTGTACCAGAGGGAACCCAGGATGCAGACCAAATGTAGAACCCAAGTAGATGCCCAGGTAAGTTGAAATTTCCTGCCACTGGGACATTGCCTGGAAGTCCGGGCACACATTGCTAGGCTGGGAACTAACTTTTCGTCCAAGCCGTAATAACCAACCTACCGACTGTTCTGAGAGCAGAGAGGTAAAGGGAGGAAAAAACTCTCCAACAACTTGGGGAAGGAGGCCCCCAAGGCTTGCTTACCTTCCCGACTTGGTAATGACCATCTCGGTGCCCCGTTTGTGAAACTGATCCCAAAGTTCTTTAGCCTCCAGGTGCACCTTGGGGTCGTCCTCCACCTCCTCTTCGGGTTCCATGGTCTTCAAAGGCCTCAGATGCGCCTGGGGCCCCAGGGAGGAGAACGGGATGCCCGTCTCGGCCGCCCCCACCAATTGATCCATGATCGGCTTGGCCAGGGCGCCCGGCAGCGAGAGCGCCGCCGCGCCGTTGGGAGGCAGAGTCAGCGCGGGGAAGAACGGCGGCTGGTGACCCAGCACCGCGCTCATGGCGAAGTCCGGCGCCCGGTGAGGTAGGAACGGATGGTAGGCCATGCTTGTCCCAGGAATGACCGGATCTCTCATGGAGAGGCTCATCCACTCCAGGCGAGGCGCTGGGCTCCAGCCGGGGACAAGTCCGCAGCTGCTGTGTTTTGTTTTGTTTTTCTTTTTCTTTTTTTTTTGTTTAACAGCAGCACATAGTTCAAAAAGGGGGAAAAAGAAAGGAAAAATAAAAGGAGGCAGAAATCACAACTAACGCACTTCAAAGGGGGTACAGCAAGTGTCTTTTGGGGAAGGGGACGCCGATTTTAAAGAGGGCAAGGCGAAAAAACAGGAAACATAGTCTCACGGGTGACCGTCCTTGTGCCTCGCGTTTTTAAAAAGCCGCTCCTGAAAGTCGGATTCAGAAGCGAGAGGAGCGAGCAGGGTCTCGACTCGCGCCCGAGCCCAGCCGCTGAGCTCGAAATAGACACTCCAGCCCTGCGTCCCAGGAATCTCTCTCCAGCCCCTAGGTCCTTTGTTGCAAATGTGAAAGGTTCTCCTACAAGACTTTTTACCTTTTCTTTTTCTTCTTCTCCCGCCCCCTAGCTCTCTTCCTCTCCCTCTTTCTCGCTGGTGGCGTCTGCAGCAGTGCTAGACCCGGCTTTAGAAGGGAGCGAGGGAGCGGAAAAAGTCTCTCCTCAAAAAAAAAAAAAAAAAAAAAAAAAAATCTGATTCAAACCCCCTTCTACCAGCGCTATCAAAACTTGAACTGCAAACTGGCTTCCGTTCGCCCTCCTCCTCCTTCCTCTGCTCCGAGCCTCCGGAGGGTGTCTCAGTTTCAATCCAAATCTTGCTGTGTTCTTCTGCTGTGCCTCTCTCTCTTCCTTGTCCTAAAACGTGAGCGAATTCGCTTCCTAAATCTGTGTCCAGGCGCGCAGGGCAGGGAGGATTTAGAGAGGGAAAATATGGAACGGAGGGAGAGAGAGAGAGGGAGAGGGAGAGAGAGACCGAGTCGGAGAGGGAGGGAGGGAGCGAGGGAGGGAGCGAGAGAGAGCGAGAGCTCCTCGCCACTCTCCTCCGCCTCTAGAATTCGCCGGGCGTCTGCTCGGCGGCTCTAGAAGGTCGGGCTGCGCTGTGGGCTGCGGGGAGTCGGAGGCCTCTTGATTGGCTCTTTAACGCTTTCGGACCAATTGTGTTGCTGCATAGGCGTGGTTTTCACAGGTCGAGTGCTGGGGGATAGAGCTGAGTTATAAAAAGAAGGTGTCGGAAACTGTAACGTCGCCCCGCCGCATCGGTACTACTGCCTGTCCTGTGAATGTCAACATGATCAGAGGGAGGGCGGGAGCCACTGGGGAGCGCGCGCGCAGAGTCGCCTCTAGGTGGCTTATCGAGAGATCGCAGCAGCCCCTGAGCTCGCTCGCTCTGGTTCAGCCCACGTCTGAAATGCCTCAGTCATCCAGCCGGGGATCGAGGGAGGAGGCAGGACCGAGGAGGAAGGGGGAGGGAGCCAGCCAGAGAGCGAGCCGGGCGGGGAAGGCGCCGGGCAGGGGCGCTCGCCTCTCGTGCACTCCGCTCGCCTCTCCGACCGCCGCGGCCGGTTCTCTCTCCAGCTCTCCCTCTTCCCCGGGCTCCGGGCGAGCCAGGCGGGCGGCCGAGCCTCCCCGCCGGTTGCCATTAGGCCGCTCCGCGCAACAAAAGCCGGCCGCAGCGGAGAGGCGAGAGCCAGGACGCCAGGCTTACGCGCTCTCCAGCCCCACGTGGAGCCAAGCTCCGCCCGGCCGCCGTTACAAGGGCTCCCGAGCTCGAGTGTCCCGGTGCTGATCTCCCCTGCATCTGGGCTCGCGGACACAGGAGCACACGGAGGCGGGCACATCTCAGCCCACACGCTTGTGTGGGGTTCCTCTCCACCGTGCCCCACCCGCAGCCGTGTGCGGAGACTCAAACACCCCCGGTGCATCTGTACTCAAACACCCGCCAACACACTGGGACTGAGGCACACACCGAAAAACACCTACACACCAACACGTACACATCCTGCGCGGCTAGCCCTACCTGAGCTCCGTGGGGGAGATGGACTTGGGATTTTTATGAAATGTATTTACCAGCCCTTTTGGATCTAGTCTTTCATTTGCATGCGGGCCGCGGTATTCTACCTGGATGTGGGTGTGGGTGTAGAGAAGAGAATGGAGGATCTGCACAAAGCGAGCACAGCGAGGGCCTGGGCTCTGAGCCTGTCCCCTCCAAGCCGCTGCCCTCACCCCGAGGTCCGGCTGGGTGCACAGCAGAGGGTAAGGGGTGGGCGAGTGGGTTGGGGGAGGCGCGCCAGCCTGGTATCTTATCTAGGCATCGCACTTATCTCTGGGTGCCTCAGTTCTTTCTCCACCCGGGGGACTTATCTCTCCAGAAGTCGGGGAGGGAGGGCGAATTTGTAAAACAAACCGTGAAACGCCCCCACCTCAAAGGTGAGATGACTGTTTTCAGTACGGGTAGGGTGGCGGCCTCCTTTGGGCGAAGGGGAAGGAAACGACCGGATCTTACCGATCGCCGAATTACTAACTGCTACGGCAGCGCCCGGTCCGGGTCAGAGGATTCGCCCAAGCCCACAGTTCTTGATTCTCGGGGCCAATGACTTGGACCATCCTTGCTTAAATGGAGGGAAATCTTGAAAACAAAGTTATTTTATCTTTCCTGAGATGAAAGCTTCTTCGTTGGAAAGGCAACGGAGAAAGGGCTGAGCTGGGCGCTTAGGGGTTTAAGAGACCCAGGGCTTGTTTGCCTGTGTCTCTGTAGGCCAATGCAGGCCTCCAACATTTTGCCTTGCGCACCCCCGCAACCCCCAGCAACTCTGAAACCCCAACGTGGCAGCAAGGGAAGGGTGAAAATGCAGTGCCCTTGTGGGCCAACTACGCTGAGATAGGGGAGGACCTTTTGAGGCGACAAGCTTCTCCAGCCTCGCATTTTTGACGCACATGGTTAAGAGATCTTGGCGCCAGCGTTGAGAATTCCCTGAAGTCACTAGAGAGAATAGAGTGGTTCTGCGAACTCCGTCTGGCTCGCCGTCTCTCCCCTTTCTTTCCCTTTCGGTCTGTCTTTCTCTGGCGTCCTCTCTCTGCCAGTGGTTAAAATAGAGAAAGGAGAGCGAGGGGGAAAAATGAGGTGGTGATGTCCCAGAGTGTTGGCTCAGACACTGTCTCCCGCATCCCCTCCGCCCCATCCTGAAGGGTGCAAGAGGCCGGGCCATACCCCGCCTTACACAGAACACAGAGGTCACAGCAGGGTTTCATGAGTCTCTGAAGGCAAAAAGAAAAAGAAAAAAAAAAAAAAAGAGAGAGATAAAAGAAAAAAGAGAGCTCCCCCTCCCCCACACTGCTTGCCTCCGGGACCTGGGGACGCTTAGCTGAGCTTTCAAGAGCGGCCCCAAATCACAGCGATCTGGTTTTGCCTGCCTGCCCTCGCAGGCCAATCTCTGCCCCACCACTTGGAGTGGAAGCAAAGTAGTTCTACAACCACACTGTGACCGACCCTCTCCTCACCCACTCAGTGCCCCCCAAGCGTCCCACGCACAGCAGAGAGGCATTTCTACCCGATCCTCAGCGTTCTGGCCAGCTGTCTGCTTTGGAAATGGGAGGGGAGCTTGCGGATTTCACTTGTAAATGTCTCGACTTGTGTTTGGCTCTGCGGGTGGACGAAGAGGGTTCTGCTCCTCACACTGTCCTCCTCCCTCAATTGCCTATTTTTTTGCCCATAGCTCTAACTTAACCCTGAGATCACCCCACATCGCTACTTCTGACCCCCACCACCTCCTCCCCCACCCCCATCTCCAGCGCAAGAAGGAGAGAACGAGAGGAAAGTTTGCGGGGTTCTGAATCGGGAATGTCGACATCTTGCTAATGGTCTGCAAACTTCCGCCAATTATGACTGACCTCCCAGACTCGGCCCCAGGAGGCTCGTATTAGGCAGGGAGGCCGCCGTAATTCTGGGATCAAAAGCGGGAAGGTGCGAACTCCTCTTTGTCTCTGCGTGCCCACCGCGCCCCCCTCCCGGTGGGTGATAAACCCACTCTGGCGCCGGCCGTGCGCTGGGTGATTAATTTGCGAACAAACAAAAGCGGCCTGGTGGCCACAGCATTCGGGTTAAACATTGGCCAGCGTGTTCCTAAGGCTTGTGCCGGGCCTGGCCTCCGGGAGGACCCACGAGGCCAGGGCGCCCTGGGCCCCGGCCTTCGGCGCCAGCTGCTGGCTCTCCGCGGTCTTTTCCTCTCTGCAGACCCTTGGATCCTCTTTCCTTCGGTCTCATACTCAACAAAAGACAGACTGGAGACGTTGAAAGAGCCTGCCCTTCAACAGAATCCGAGAATAAGGTGCCTTCAGGGCAGGAGAAGGGAGAAAGAGGGCAGATTCCGGGTCAGAAAAGACCCGGAGAATTTCTGGTGTCTCTGAAATATTCCTACACGTTTTCGCAAAAAGAGTTTTCACGTCATTGTGGCCCTGGAATTAAACAAGTAAATTAGCTGAGAAAGCTTTCTATCTGCAATGCCTGCAGTATTTAAAGTAGTGAGAGTGCGTAAAGGCGAGTGTTAAAGGTGGGTGGGGGAGGGTCCTGAAAATAAGGTTCCTAGGTGGAGGTGGGGGGTCGGGATAGGGGTAGGGGGAACAAAACCAAATTAACTGTCCTTAGCCCAGGCCACAGTGCCAGCAACAAAGCTGGCCCTGCCTGAGACGGAAACCTAGCCCATTGCCACTTTTCCCTGCCGAACTGCCTGTAAAGGGCTCAAACTGTAAAGGGGACAAACCGACCCTTTTGTGATCAAATGGTGTTTATCTGGAGTTTACAAAAAAGGCGGAGAGGAGGGGAAAGGATGGTGGGTAGGCGGGGTCGTTTACTTTGGCCAGTTTGCTGTAACTATTCCCTTCAGCATGTGTGAGGTCTGGCAAGGGACTATTATATGCTTATTCCCTCTTAAACTTTCACCCCCGTTTGCCGGAGAGCTCTTTTCAGTCTGAGGTGTCACTAAATTGGGAATTCTGTTGACAGAAGGGCATCCAAGATTCTCCTGGGGTATGAGACCTAATTAAGAAGTTTCCTACAGGGGTGGGTCAGTCCACATATGAACTTTTACCTGGGGAGGGACTTTCTGGTCACCCTGGCAGTGTGGCCATGGCTCCTCATTTCTGCCCAGTGCCCCAGCCCATTTGATCTCAGTATCCCTTCCTCTTTTGATATTGACAAGCTTTGAAACTGACCAGGTACCTGCCTCCCAGGGCTCCCATTCCCTTTAGGGCTCAATTCTCCCACCTGAGGAAGTGATTTTCTTATCACAGATCCCAGGGAAGTAGCTTTCTGGGGAGTACCTAGTTTACTGTTTATGGTTCCTCCTGCAAATCGCCCTAGCAATAGCGCTGCTATCCTACCCCGAACCCTGACTCTCCTCCAGGCAGTGCTGAATCCAGTGGAGGCTTGCTCTTCCTCCAGGAGTCTCACCGTGGACCCCCACCCCCTCCTTCTTCCCAAGGCTTGCTTTGAGAGCTTAGCTCCTCTCTGGTCGGGAGGCTGCCTGTCAGTCCCTTGGAGAGAGGCTGGGCTCCCCCACCTTTCCTCTCTCCGGGGCAGACACTAGCTTCTTGGTTGGAACAGACAGACAGGTCAGGGCATCCACCTTTTGTTTATTTTTCTGTTTCTTTCTTTCTGTCCTCCCCCCACCACCCCCTACCCCCGCTCTTTTTTTGGTCTCCCTGTCTTTCTCCTTGTCCCCATTTAAGATTATTTGAATGCAGGTCTGGAACCTTTCTTACTCTTTTTTCCTTCTCCTTTCTCTTCTCCTCTTTGCATCAATCTTATTCTTGGTTTCTATTTCTCCTTCTTGTCTTGTATCTATTTCCCAGCCTTTAACTTCTCATGATGTTCTTTCTGGTGGTTTTTCTTTCTTTCTCTTCTTTATTCTTTCCTTCTCTGTATTTTCTCTGGCTGTCTTGGTCCTGTCTGAATTATCCCCTGTCTTTCTGACTTGGTGCCTCCGTTCTCTGCCGCCTCTCTCTCCCTCATCTTTCCAGCAACCATGACAGCCTGGAGATCCCTCTTCCTGGGGCTGAAGCAAACACCTCACACTTACTTCCTTAACTAGGAAGATAAAGTGTCCTGAGAGATAGAAAAACGTTGTTGCATTTGTCTAGGTTGGCAGTTTCACCTTTTCCTCTTGGCATTTCCAAAGCCACCCCTTTCTCCAGAGTTGAACCCCATCCTTGCCCTCTAAGCTCTAAAGCCACCTCCCCATCTTTTTCAGGGCAGGAACTTAGGGTGAGGAGCTGAGAGTTGAGCTCTATAGCCCCAGCTCCCTACTTGCTCCAGCAACACGGACCTTTCCTGTAACCCACACTTCCATGTCCTCTGACATCCCTCTAAATTATTGATCAGGGCAATTCAGTG